GTGGGGCCCTGGAGCAGGCCCTCAGCCACCACGGACTCTGCTCCCTGAGACCCCACCCCACCCACCCTGCCTGTTCTGGCGGGTCCTCTGGATGCTCAGGGTGCTCTGGGTCCTCTGGGGGCTCTGGGGGCTCTGGCTGGGGCTCTGGGGGCTCTGGGGGCTCTGGCTGGGGCTCTGGGGGCTCTGGGGGCTCTGGCTGGGGCTCTGGGGGCTCTGGGGGCTCTGGCTGGGGCTCTGGGGGCTCTGGGGGCTCTGGCTGGGGCTCTGGGGGCTCTGGGTCCTCTGGTGGCTCTGGGGGCTCTGGCTGGGGCTCTGGAGGCTCTGGATGGGGCTCTGGGGGCTCTGGGTCCTCTGGGGGCTCTGGGTCCTCTGGGTCCTCTGGGTCCTCTGGGGGCTCTGGAGACTCTGAGGACTCTAGAGAGCTCTGGGTCCTCTGGGGGATCTGGTCCTCCGGGTCCTCTGGGTCCTCAGGGTGCTCTGGGTCCTCTGGGGGCTCTGGGTCCTCTGGGGGCTCTGGGGGCTCTGAGGGCTCTGGCTGGGGCTCTGGGTGGCACTTTGGATGGGCCTTGGCATCCACGCTGCCTGCACAATGGCTCCCGATGCCTGTTAGTCAGGAGCTGACAGCACAGCCAGCACACGGAAGTCTGTGGATGGGACCCCCACCAGGGCACCGGGTCACACAGGAAGGGCCGCCCGCAGGAACACAGGCAAGGGTTCTGGGCTGGCTGTGCGTGAAGGTCGGTATTAACAGGAAGACAGAAGAGTTTCTGCCTCAGAGCTGAGGAAGGACACGTGAATGAGGAAGCGTGGTGTTTCGGAACGCAGCCAGCATCGCGAGGCCAGTGGGCGTCTGGCTGCGGTTCTTACGTGTCCAGGAAGCTGGGCCTGTCCCCTTTTACTCTGAGTTTTGGGGCTGACCAGGCAGATGAGGGGCATGGGCGAGAGTGTGGGAGGGGTCCTGGGGCTACTCTGGGCTTCTGTTTTGTGTCCTGGCTCACGGGCTCCTTCGCCGCCTCGGCTGGGCTGACGGCGCCTCCCTGGTCCCAGGTTCCTGCTGGTCTTCTCCTGCCTCGTGCTTTCCGTGTTCTCAACCATCAAAGAGTACGAGAAGAGCTCGGAGGGTGCGCTCTACATCCTGGTGAGCCCGCGGGGGAGGGGCTGGCCTCGGACAAGGCGTCCCACCTGCCTCTCCCCCACACCCCAGCCCCCAGTTATGCCCCAGCCTGACCCGGCCTGGTCCCCACCCTGTGTCATCACAGCGCCTGACAACCCCCATTGCCCCTACCATCGGTTCTCATAGATCCCGAGGACCCACCTGGCGCCCTCCACCGCGGAGACGTGGGTGTGCCCCGGTAGACGTGGGTGCGGGTAGGGCGGGGGCTGTGATGCTCACGGCAATCCCATGAGGGCCAGAGGCGGACGCTATGGCAACCACTGTAATTTCGGTGCCGCTGTGAGTGACAGAGGGGCCTCCCCGGTCCAGAATGCACCTCTGAGGAGCCCTCCCACCCCAGCCCTCCCCTGGGGCTGCCCCAGGCTTCGGGGAGGACCCTAATGACACCAGCTCAGCCAGGCCTCCCCAGCCGCTGCCGTAGTCCCTGCAGTGGCTCAGCTGCGGCTTCCCCTGCAGGAAATTGTGACCATCGTGGTGTTTGGCGTGGAGTATTTTGTGCGGATCTGGGCCGCGGGCTGCTGCTGCCGGTACCGCGGCTGGAGAGGGCGGCTCAAGTTCGCCCGGAAGCCCTTCTGCGTGATCGGTGAGGCCTGGTGGGGATGCAGGATGGACACAGGCTCTGGAAAGAGTGGGGAAGCCAGGAGAGACTGCAGAATGCTCCGCCCTCTTGGCATCAGAGGTCGTGGTTAATGTGGCCTGAAAGGCAGGGGCGCAGGGCAGCTGTGCCCAGGGCAGGACTGGTGGATGATAGTCAGTCTCCACACTGGGTGGGTGCTCTGCATGCACCCCTGTCCATCTGTCCATCTTCCTGGAACCCAGGTGGAGGGTCCTGTCCCCCACGCACAGCTGCCTCGAGCTCCCCCTCTCCGCAGACATCATGGTGCTCATTGCCTCCATCGCCGTGCTGGCCGCCGGCTCCCAAGGCAACGTCTTTGCCACGTCTGCGCTCCGGAGCCTGCGCTTCCTGCAGATCCTCAGGATGATCCGCATGGACCGGCGCGGCGGCACCTGGAAGCTCCTAGGCTCTGTGGTCTACGCCCATAGCAAGGTGAGCCGGCCTTAGCGGAGGCTGCAAGGGCTGGCTGGACAGAGCCCAGGAATTCTGGCCAGCTTTCCCGCACAGTCCCCAGCCCGTTTGGCCCTGTATGAAGCCACTGGCCCCGAGGTTGGATGGGAGTGCTGGGATCGATACCCGTCACTGCCCATTTAGGCTGCAGCTGGTGGTGGCCGCTGGCAGTGGGACCCTTAAGGTGGCTGCAGCTGCGTCCCAGCCAAAGCCTCTTCCCACGTTCTAGGGAGCTACCAGGAGGCCCAGACCCTGCCCTGCCTGGCTGTGCCTCCCTGGTGTGGGTCGGCTCCATTGCGGTGCTGGCCGCCAGCTCCCAAGGTCCCATGTCCCCCTACCCACTCTCCCTCCTGTCTGAGCCCTGAGGTGGGGGCTTGTTCAGCAGGAACAAGGGTGTTGGTCCCTCAAGGTGCTGAGGTGCTGGACCCCTCAAGGGTGGCAGGCAGTCAGGTGTCTCCCCAGGCTCAGGGAAGTTGAGGTAGGGTGTCAGGTTCCAACATTCTTGCCTGATGGCCTGTCGGCTGCTTGGGACACTCCCAAATCTGC